GCAGAGAGGGGGATGGAGTTTGGGATTTAATTTAAAACATCTCTGTGGGAGCGATGGGCAGGAGCGGGGAGAGGCTTTGGTGCAGAGGGGGAAGACCGAGTTTTGCTGATTTTTGCTGGGTGACTGTCCCTGGGGAGCTCTGGGCTGAAATAATAACGCCCAGCCCTTACCATGAAAGCCACAACGGACACCTCGTAGATGATGGACTGGGCAGAGAGCTCGATGACGCTGAGCAGACCTGGGGGAGAGGAGAGGGTCAGCTGGGGGTGTGGGTGCCCGGGGGAGAACTGCTCTTGTCCCCCGCGACTGCTGCAGATGCCGCTCCGGCTCATGCCCTGTCCCCCTCCTTGCAGCTGGCTCTCTCTGCTGACCTATGAGGAAGCTCCCGATTTCGTAGGTCCACCACTCGATGCACATCATGAGCATGCTGGGGATAGCCAGGGACGTGAAGCTGTCCCACTCCAGCAGGCACTCGCTGGACCAGCCTGCGGAGAGGAGGAACATCACCTGATGGCTGACCGGGCTGGCCACATATCACATCCTCCAGAGTACCCACGGCAGTTGGAGGGACCGTTCCTGTTTGTAGAGCCACGAGAGCCACGCTCCTCAGCTCCATGGGACCTCCAGCAGCTGAGCATGCACATACGTGCTCTGCTGACGCCATCCCGTGGGCCACGCAGCAGTGCAACCCTCAGCTCATCCCTCCCGGAGCAGAGTTGTCCAAGGACAACCTCATGCTTACATCTGTGCACATCCGGCTTCGGGGCTGAAGCCTACAATGCCTCAGCAGAAAGTTTCGCTTCTCCAGAATTAATGTTTCCGGCACGGTGCTCTGCCAACGCTCGCGCGTGACGCACTGCCACCGAAGCAGCACCGCATTCCTGGGGTGCACCGAGCCAAAAGTTAATATTTACCACCAGGACTAACAGAATTCACCTGAGAGAGGTGGCGGAAAACTCCTGAACGCTCGTGTAAAGCGGGAACGGGAGGGAGGTGGGGAGATGCCCTTACCTCCCCAGGTCTTCACGTGGAGTTTCTTGCCTATAATATACAGGAACAAGAAAATGGCTTGTGAATACTGGGCAACGGTGTTGGCCCAGGCAGAGCCCCTGCAAAGGAAATAAGAAAGGTCGTTGGCACGCCGCTCACGCCTCCCTGGCCAGGGAGTGCCAGAGCGTGATGTCCTGCCGTGCCCCCGCGAGCACCGGATGCTCGGCCGCGCCTTGGGGTGCCGACGTCCCTGAAAGGTCCCTTGTCGTTGCCAGGTGTCGTGTTTTCTCCTCCGTGGGACGCGGGCGCTACTCACACGATGCCCAGATGGAACACGTAGAGGAAGACACAGTTTGCAATCACGTTGACGACGTTCCCGACGATCCCGCTCAGCACCAGCGGCCACATGATCATCTGCAAAGAGGAGGCGATGGGAGCGACACCGCCTTCCCAAAAGCTTTGGGAGAGGAGTGCGAAGGTCTCCGCCAGCCCCACGCTCAGCAGCTTCCTCAACTAAAGAATAAACTTCCGACGATGTCGCCTTGCTGGGAAAATGAGTGCGTGGGAGGTAAATCCCTGACCTGAGGGAGTATGAAGGGAGGTCCATCAGGCACATGGATACAACTGGCTGTGGGATGGGGTGATGGCCAGGGTCAGAGCTGTTCTGGGACACCTGGGCGCTGGCGGGGACAAATGCTGCCTTGCCCCCAGGAATGGTGAGCATGAAAACCCTGGATGTGTGGTTGAAGGGAGCCCTGAGCCAGGGCTGACCCTTCCTGGGTGCGGGGGCTGCAGGACCCACCTGGTTCTGCAAGTATCTTGTCTCCAGGTTATACAGAAAAACCGCCTGAAAAGGAAATGGCTGGATGAGGTGAGGCCAGCACTGAGCAGGGGCTGTGCTGCTGCCATGGGAAACGGGAGCGGGATCAGGGGGATCCTGCGTGGCCCACAGGGACTCACCGGGAGAGCAGGGACAAACGCCATCACGTAGCGCTGGGTTAACCTGGGGGAACACGAGGCATGGCTAGCGAGGGGCCATGGCCACAGCCACCCCCTCCTCGCGCCGGGGAGGGACGAGGCAGTGGCGTCTGAGCCACGGGACCACCCGACCTGGAGACCTCGGGGTCCTGGCGGATGAGGAGCAGGAGCTGCTCGATGTTGATGAGGATGGCGCAGCAAGGGAAGCAGCAGAGCAGGAGGATGAGGGTGGCACGCTGCAGGATCACCCCCACGCGCAGCAGGTTCTTGCTGCCGTAGGTCTGCAAGGCGAGAGGGTGGCCGTGAGCTCACGCCAGCGCCGGGGAGTGGACGCAGGGACCCTGCGGAGCGTGGAGCAGCCCTGGTCACCCTGCAGACCATCCGGGAGGGATTTGGTATTTCGAGGGGAGCACGGAGCTCCCTGTTATGGGGTTGCTGCATGGGGACAAGCTTTCCCAGCTCCCAGGCACAGCCGGGGCTCCATGCAGTGCCTGGGCAGCATCAGCCAATGCTGGAAAACCCCGCAGCTCCAGGACAAATGCCAGAATCGGTCACTTACCTGTGATATCAAGGTGTCACATGCCGATGACAAACCATAACCTACGGAGATGGCAGTAACATTTATAACCTGGAAAAAGGAGTTAAAGAGCCCCAAAGAGCGAATGTGAGCATTTAAGATGTTTAGGTAGGGAGAGGGGCTAAAAGGGGGAGCCCGAAATCTCTATCCTTGTCCACTTCTGTTCCTGTATCCCATCCCAGTGTCAGCAGGTGGGAGCTGGTGCCTGGCGCAGCCCCCAGGAATGCTTACAGCGATGGCCAGCGTGACGGAGGCCAGCTCAACCTTGCCCAGGTGGCCGCAGAATATGGAGCTGACGAGGTGTATCAGGAAGATCAGCAGCTGGATCAGGATCTGAGCGCGGAGGAGATGAGGTCAGGGATGGAGGTGAGCAGGGGCGGCCGTGCTGGGGCAGGGGGACACTCTCCTCCCAGGGTCCTTACCAGCGGCCCAGCCAGCACCAGCAGCTTCTTTGCATCCTCCCAAAAGTTGTCCGGGAGCAGGCGCCGGAGCCAGCGGTGTTTCTTCCCGCAGCTACCGGGTGTGAGCTCGTGCTGTCGCCGATGCCGTTCTCCTCGGGGAGGTTCGCCTGCTTCATGCTGCCGCTCTGCCAGGGGAGTGAAACAGCTCCGCTCCTCCACGCTCTGTTAAAACCACCCTGCCAGGGCGAGCAATGTGTAACCACGGTGGGGTGAACTTCAGCCGGGGCCGGGTGAGCCGGCCACATGCTCCCTGCTGCCGGCAGCCCGGTTGGCGATGGGAAGTGTAGGCAGTGGGGTCAGGGCAGGGCAAGGAGTTGGGGAGCACTCGCTGCCTGTCCTCAGTCAGTGTAGGGGCTGAGCCCTTCCCGAATTGCTCCCACGAACCCTCATACCTCTCTACTGCTCCGGTGGGCTGGAGGGTTGTCGTCCTCTTCCAGCAGCGATGGAGGATTCACGAGCACTGTGCGCTCTCCGGCGAGCTGTGATTGGCAGTGGTGGGGCTGCTGCCCCTCTCAGCCCCTCTCATCACGGCATGTCGGTGGCCAAGACAAGCCAGCCCCGTTGGCTCCTGCTGTCAGCCTTGCAGCAGCGTCAGGTTTCACCAGCATCGCTCTGCCAGGCCAAATATAGCATCCTGCCTTGGCCCAGGGCAGGGGAAAGGGAGGGGAAGCTGACCATCCCCTGCACGGAGCGGGAGGTGGGCTCTGGTGGGATGGGGTGGGAGCCCAAGGGGCAAGGCAAGGCAGCCTTCCTTCTCTCCACAGGCTCCCATCCCAAAACCAGCTCGACTCCAAGCAGGGCAGCGTCTGGCACATCTTCCCCACATCTGGGCAGAGGCTGCTGCGCTCATGGTTGATGGCTGTTTCACACTCCTTTATGTGATGCCCTTTCACTCCCAGCCCGCAGGCAACCAGCCCCACACGCCGGGAGAGTTGTGGGGTGGCAGAGGTGCCATGCACCGGCTCCCCACGGCATTCACCTCCAACATCTAAGCGTGCACCATGCTGAGGTGGCAGTGGCCTTGCTGTTACGCAGCTGCAGGGTAAGACCGTGGGACAGGGGGTGGGCAGGCAGTGCTGGGGTGTTTGCATCAAGACACAGAGCCTTGGCAGCTCTGCGGGCTTGTACAACACCCCACCCCCATCTCAGCAGCTCAGCAATGGCATAGGAGCAATCGAGGTGCAAAACCCCTGCTCGGACCCAAGGGGAGCAGCATGCCATCAGCCTAACTGAAACAAGGCCCCGGCTGCTGCTGCACCCACAGCTAGCCCCAAACATCAGGGCCAGGAGGCTGTTCCCTGTGCAAAGCCCACCGTGCTGCAAAAACCAGGCACGCATCTCCCCTCTGTCAGCTTAGCGGTGCCAATGACCGGGGTCACGCTCACACTACCGTAACAGCCCAACATTTACTCAGAAAACTTTATTGTATCAAAATCCCACCTTACAAAAGTGCAAAGGAAAGTTGCTTTAGGCCCTGTGCTTGCCACCCCGCAGGGAAGGCTGGGCCAGCAGCCAGAGCCCAACGCCCTGGCAGCTGCCGGGGGATTCATCCACCTTCCACCAAAATCACGGCAGCAGGAGGGAGCAGGCTCTGCCCTGCCGAGATGCTGGCACAGACTGGTGCTGCGGGCAGCGAGAGCCTCTGCCAGTAGCAAATGACACAGACAAATGCCCCCAGGGAGCAGGGCAGCAGCACAAGGTCCCCGTCTCCTTCCTGGGCCAGCCGCAGGATGCGCTCCCGCGTACCACCAGTGACATCCCAGTGCAGTGCAGGAAAGAGACCAGCTCTCAAGCACTTTCCTCCCAGATGCCACATCCTCAACGCTTTTAAGAACTCCACGTGTGGGATAAAACATTGTGAGTTAACCAGAAATTGAGCAAAGTGACTCTTTAAAAGGAACTGAGGGGGAATTCCTCCCCCCGTACCGTCTTCCTCCTGGGCCATAACCATGTGCCCTCCCTGCTCCGTGCACAGCTCCCCATCGTCACTGGTTCTAGCCGTTGCCAGTGAGGAGCCGGACCAGTATGCCCACCAGCAGGACAGCAACGGCAGTGGCAGCAGCCAGCACGCGGCGGATGACCAGAGCCCTCCATGCCACAGCGGGAGGAGCAGAGATGGCAGCAGGCTGCTCCTGCGTGATGAGCTGGTGGTCAGGTTGCCTCTCCCCTCCCACAATGCTCTCAGGCAGGACCACAGTGTCCACGGTGTCCGTGTCAACGGAGACATAATCTGCGCAACAGAGACGGGAGTGCTGCAGGGAAGCCGAGCTGCAGCGTCGGGGGATCCCAGCCTGATGCTGCACAAGCAGGAGTGACAGTCGTGAGAGTCCTTTCCCAAGGCAGAGGGACACTAGGACATGCCACAGCGAAGTGGCACACGTTCCCAGGTAAGGCAGATGCTGGCTGGCCGTCCAGGCACTTCCCTGGAGCAGCCAGCGTGGTGACAGGGGTAACGGGGTATCTTGTACCCCATTACTAAGCACAGGAGAAGTGCCACTGGGCCTGCTGGCCAGGCATGGCTGCCGTGACTGTGAAGGAAAGGAAGGGTTGGGTGGAGAATTTGGGCTCCCTCCTCATTGTCAGGTCTGGTTACATACCCACAGCAGATGTTTTGTTAGCAGCTGTGCCATTGGAGTTCACATCTTCCAGTTCTTTTTTCAGTCCAGCTCGGACTTGAGCCTAAAAACACATGGAAAAGTTGCTGGTCCCGGAGCAAGGGTGTCCTACCCAGCCAAGCAAACCGAGCATCCTCCCTCCACCAAAGCAAGCATGCTCAGGACCAAATTGCTCCTGGGAGGACAGATCCCATTTCACTTCTGCCTCCTCCCAGAGGGCTGTGGCACTGTAACGGGAGAGGAACTCACCTAGCACCTTGTAGGGGTTACTAGAAGCACAAATCTCACCTCTTCTGCAGCTTTCTTCCAATCTATGCGCAGGACAAAAGCCGAGAAGGAAAGGGCTTGCAAAGAGATGCAAATGATCATCCCCACCCACAGACCTGCAGGGATGGAGAGTGACTTCAGGGAGGGCTTGCGGCCACTGCCAAAATGCCCAAAGACTTCAGTCGGGTCAGGTTATCGCCCCGCTCTAACCCAGTCTCAGTGGGAGAGCTGCCCTGAGGGCAAACAGCTCCTAGGGGGGTCCTATCTGGGAGCAAGCCTGGATTTACTGGGATATCTCAGCCCCAGTTTGATGGGGGCTACTCAGAGCCTGCCTCACATGCTTGGGTGTGTGGTCCGGCCCCACAGATCCGAGTTCCAGGGCTGAGCCTTGGCTGGAGACACAGCGTTTGGCCCAGCAGCAGCACTGGCAGCTTGTACCAAGCCAGACTCGCAGTGGGGGACACACGTACCTAACAGCCCCATCTTAGCTGCAAACATCAGGGAGATGCCGATGGGCAGGCCGATGGCGTAATAGCCGATGGCGTTGGCGATAGCACCCATCTTCTGCTTCCCTGTGCCCCGCAGCACGCCGCCACAAGTCGCCTGAGGAAAGCGGGCAGAGGGATCAGTCGGTGGGAGAGTACGTGCTACAGAAGGTACCACCATGGGAGCTCTGGGATGTGGCACAGCCCTGGGAGCAGGGGAACCCGCAGCGCTAAGAGGGACCAGAGCCACGTCACAGAGCGCAGGGCTCCTCTCGTTCCTGCTGCTGACCCAGTGCGGAACGTGTCTGCAGAGACAGGCATGCCAGCAGACCCCATAGTGCTTTCCATACTGACCAGGTCCCTCTCCCATGGACGCAACAGGAGGAAACAGGCTGAAATTACTATCCAATCAGTTGTATGAGCCCTCTGCTATGCTGTGAGTGCCCGATGTCTCTGAAGATCCAGCTGTGCCACTCTGACAAGCCAGTTAAAAGCTGAAACCTTGCCAGGGGGAAAAAAGGGAGAGAACTGGGCTGCTCTGCAGCAATGCCCATGGGCAACTACACGCACAGGGACTCTGAGGTGGGTTGGGTAATGCAAGCAGCCACTTTGGCAGTTTATCAGTTTGCTTCTCTGTATCATTTTACCAGATGAAGAAAGAGCAAGAGGCAGCTTTGCACTCTCCTTTGCACCCCAACCTGCAGAGAGGAATCACTCCACATGCTGGAGTACTCACTGCTGCTGCATCAAACAAGTGGAACGGAGCAAAGATGATCATCACTTTGGACACCAAGACAGCAATCTTCCTGTTGGAAAGATGTACGTACTGGTCAGAGAAAGCAGCACAGCCTGGTCCCAAAGGACTCTCTGGTCCCGACATATCTCCCTTGGTCAGCTATGGAGCCTGATCCCAGCCCACGACACTTGAGGGGATGCGTGCAGCTTGGGTACCACCCTGGTAGTGTCCCAGTGTCAGCAGCATCCCTGCTGCCCAGCGGGGAGGAACCTTTGGGGAACATGTTTGGCAGACGGAGGTTTATGAACTCCATCAGTAGCTTCTCAGCAGCTCCTGGGGTATAAAATGCACCCTCTGAGAAGGTAATAATACTCAAAAGAAACCCTGTTAACCCACTTGTCATTGATGAAGATGTATCCCACCACGTCCTTTAGGGTTCCCAGTAACGTTGCAACCACCACAGCAAGAACTCCTGAAAGAAAAAGAAATGGTCAAATCGCTTGCCTCAAGGGCAGCATGTCCTGCTCCTGACCCAGACCTCAGGGGCTTCAGGTGATGGGAACAGGACTTGGCTGAAACCCAAGTGGTATTGCAGTAGAGAACAAGTCTGTTTTCCCCACTTTTTGCCCAGATACTCCCTCCACCTTCTGCAGGTGGATGACAGAATGCTAAACTGCATTTGTAACTATCAAAGGCTTTGCACCAGGTTCCTAACAGAAAAGGAAAGGCAGGGTCTTACCTTCCCCAAATAGAGGGTCCAAGCAAGTGGGTCTGGGTTCCTAGAGGGGGTCCCCACCCCAGTGAGAGGAAAAATGAACCATTTGCTGATAATTGCCCTTTATTCCCCTCTGCAGGACCTGGGCTGACCTGTGCACAGCAGGGCAGTGATGCAGGAGGTCTTGGCTTGTACCACATCCCCCAATCCCAAGGCATTGCCTACTCTGACACTCGCAGCCACGCTGAAGCCCAGAGGCACCTGAGTAGCAGGAGACAAGGAGATGAGTGGCAATAGGCCTGCAGCAGCAACAGAGCCTGCAGCAATTTTCTTCTACCCCAGTAAGGAATTTGGGGCAAACTGGCATTGCTGCAGTAAAGGGATTTTCCATCTGCAGCACACCCCTAGAAGTGCAGCAGACCCAAGAGTCATCACCTGCCTGGTATCAACTCCATCTTCCCACCCCTGCTTCCCTCCCCAGCTTGATCTGCAGGGCCAGTGCCTGCATGGGGGGTGTCCTCCCAGGATCCCAGTTTCATAGACTCAGCCCTTACCATGTAGGCCGCAGAGGAAAGCTCGTAGATGATAGACTGCGCACCCAGCTCCACCACACCGAGCAGCCCTGGAAAAGATTAATTCTGACCTAATTAAAACTTCTCCTTTTCTGAGAAGGACGCAGTGAGTACAGAGTTCCCATCTCACAGATGGCAGCACCCTGCAGAATCAACCCTGCAGGCGAGAGGTGCTCTGGGGACACCCTTCAGAGGCACCCACCACAGCACGGATGGCTGGGAGATGTCCTGATGAACCAGGGGAAAAAGAGTATTTGGACTCACCTGCCAAGAAGCTCCCAATCTCAAAGGTCCACCATTCAATACACATCATGAGCATGCCAGGCACTGCCAGTCGGATAAAGGAGCCCCAGTCCAGGAGGCAGTCCCGGGTCCAACCTGCAATGAGGAGGTGAAGCCGAATGAATGCATGCACTCCCTCTCCTCCCCCAAAAAGGGAGCCATATGCTCATGTGGATGATGTCCGAGGACAACCACCATGGCAGCTCACAGGACATCAGCCTAATCTTGCTGCTGTACCATTCCTGAGACAGGATGATCAACAAGAATGTGCTTGGAGCTACAGTGAAGGCCTTGAGGCCGTGGCTATATGGTAATCCCTTTATCAGGTGCTGGTGACAGTGCCAAATCCTCAGGGCCAGACACTGGTATTTTGAAGGGTTAAGCTATGAACGGTACCTCCCCACGTCTCCACATGGATCTTCTTCCACCACACGTAAAGGAAGAGGAGTATGGCCTGGGTGTACTGAGAAACAGTGTTAGCCCAGGCAGAGCCCCTGGGGAGAGAGACAAGCAGATTACAAAGGACGTCCTCCCCAGCCACAGCAGGAGATACCTGGTGGCACCCATACAAGCCTTGCTGCAGATACGGGGCAGATCCCTCCAGCCTTATCTTTTCCAGGCTGTTGGCTGAGGGCAGAGGATGGCAGAACTGGGCACCCAGGTCATCCCCCCCAGCCCTGAGCAAACCCCTGCACCCAGGGAGAGGCCGCCACCGCATCTGCTCAAACTTACACCATGCCCAGATTCAGCGCATTCAGGAAGAAGGCGTTCATGGCCACGTTGAGGATGTTGGCTGCGATCCCTGTCAACACCTGAGGCAAAATGATCGCCTGGAAGCCAAGGAAAGACTTTGGAGTTTGCTTCTCCAGCACTGCCCAAGCCCCTATCCAGCAAACAAAGGGGAGACGTTCATCAATGCCCAAGGAGAAAGCCAAGAAGGCAGCTCCTGTTGCAGGTAAAGCTGGATTGCGGCAGACATGCGGAAGGCAGCATGCAAAGCTCAAGAGCTGGTGCCATCAACAAAATGCAGAGTTGGGGAGTAGCAATGGGGAAATGGAGCAAACCAAGGGTGGTTCCCATGAGCTCCTCCTGCACCGCAGAGCTGGCTGCAGGCTGTGCATCACATATTCCTCAGCCCAGCTCTCCCTGGGACAGGATGAACTTAGATCCCAAACTTTATCAACGTTCCTAGGAATACCTTTAATCTACGGCCCAGAACCTGGTTAGTTATACAATACCTGACTTAGTAAATATCTTGTCTGCAGCTGGTACAGAAACGCCGCCTGCAAGAGTCAGGATTCATGTCATCTGCAGCCAGCTGCCGTCTCACACACAGACAGGCCCTTCCCTCAGCTCTTCCCACCGACTTCTGAGGGTGCCCCAGGCAGGCACATGGCCCAGCACCTTGCTCCTGTGGTCTGGTTGAAGCGTGGCATCTGTCAGCACTGGCTGTACCCCAAGCCAAGACTAACAAAAGGCACCTCCCATTCCCACTGGGAAGAGAGATCAGCCTCCAAATGGGAGAGCTCCCATGCTTCTTCCTGGAAAACTTGGAAGAAAGCATTAACCTACAGACTCTTGTTCTCAAGGGTACTGTTCTGTGTCTTGGAGGAGGCTCTCCAGACAGACAGCGTAACTAGCCAGAGCCCAGCAGCTGCGAGTGTGCAAACTGCAAGCTGCAGCCTTTATCTCGGAGCGAGCCTGGAGTCCCTGGTTCCAATGTCCACTGCCAGTGACTTGCTGTGCAGACACGTGGCCTGCAGTAAAAGCCTTTGCACAGCTAGACGAAAAGAGTGTGTGTTTGCTGGTCCAGCAGCTGCTGGCCAATACAGAGCTGTTAAGGCCCAAGATCAAGGGGCACGCTGTAAAACCCTAAACCATGGTGCCTGTGATCCACAGAGCAAAAACCCTCCCCTGGTTCCCCACATGTTACTGAGGGCTGAGGGATACAGAGCTTGTAACAGCTTTAGCAGCAACTTACAGGAAGCGCTGGAATAAAAATCATCACGTAGACCTGAGTTAACCTGGAAAGAGAGTTGTTTCCCCAGTTAATGATACAGCAAAGCAAGAGCCAAGCCAAGCAGTGTTGTACTCAAGCTCCACGGAGCCTTGATTTCAACACCACATGGCAACCCACAGCCAAATGACTGGTCCAGATGGGCTCGATCTCACCCCCTGACCTGGAGACCTCGGGATCCTGTCGGATGAGCAGGAGGATCTGCTCCGTGTTGATGAAGAGTGCCCAGCAAGGGAAGCAGCACAGCAGCAGGATGAGGATGCCCCGCTGCAGGATGGTGCCCACCTGCTTCAGGTTCTTGCCGCCGTAGGTCTGAGTCAGGAGAGCAGACCAAGGTGAGTATTACAGAGAACTAAAGGGTCTGGGCAAATGCTCAGGACCCAGGGCAGCAACAGGCTGATTAAATGCCCTTCCCACACCCTGTGGTGCCTAGTGCCAGGCTGGTTGGGTTTAACTGGCTCTCAGGTGGATTGTACATCCCTTTGCTACCCAGGCACGACCCCAGGCTCCTTAGGAAGCTGCAGGGTGTGAGCAGGCTCCAGCCAGTGTATCTGTAGCCCCGTGCTGGCTGGAAGCTGCTGTCCTCCTGCTCTTTGTGCCCAAATAACGCTGCACAGGAGGCCAGACATCACCAATCTAACCAGACACAAGAAAGGGGGAACTGCTACTGACCTGGGACATCAGTGTGTCACATGCTGAGGCTAAACCAGAACCGATGGAGATGCCAGTCACATTGATAACCTGCAGGAGAGACAAGGGACTTGGGTTGCAAGGGAGGGTGACAGGGAAGCTGGCCCAGAGCACTGTGTCTTTCCCAACTGGGTGGGGAGTCAGTTCAGCTACGAGTTTTTGGGGAGATTCCAGCCCTTCTCCATTTCTCAGAATAATACATTATTGTTATCTAAACAGCCTCTTCTCTCCTCTGGTGTGAAAAAGGATCCTCTAGCAAGGGGTGAATACCTAAGGAACCACTAACAGGGCTGCTCCTAGCTGCCTGCACACCCCCAGGTCTGGCCAGGTCCAGAGCTTGGCCTTGCACTGGCACAGTTCCCATCTCCTGCTTGTGCTCAGGGCAAAAGAAAGAAGGCTTTGGAGGATGCAATGTTCACATTGCATCAGGCTGTGCTTACGCACATGGTCCTCACAGATACATTCCTACAGGTTTGGGGTTTTTTCTCCTTTTGTTTTGGTGACATGTTATTTGTACGTTTTATATCAGAGGGGAATTCATAGTAATACATACAGACACGGCCAGCGTCACAGCATCCAGCTCAGCTTTCCCCAGGTGGCCACAGAAGATGGAGCTAACCACGCTGATCAGGAACCCCAGCAGCTGGGCAACAAACTAGGGTGGGAGGAAGAAGAGACGGTGAGATAAGGACAGATCAGGACTTGAATGAACACCACCCCTCCCCAGGAGTCAGAGTATGAACAGCCCCATTTCCTGGCATCACTGCAGCACCTCGCCTCTGCTGTCTTAGGAACCTGTCCCTACTCACAGCGCTGCTCTAGGACTCATACAGGCTCTTGGTGGCTTTGTCTTTGAACGCAGACCTCTACCTGCCCTGTGGAATTCTGGTGTTACGTAGGCAGTGGGGCAGATGACCTTGTTTACATGCGGCTTAACGGCTTCACTAGAAATCCTCTTTTCCAGGATGAAAGATGCATGGGGAAGGAAAAATCAAAAATCCCAATGATTTTCTGTGCTTCTGTGCATCTGGGGGAAACCCTTCTCTCAAACCACAATGTCCTTTCCTCTTGGAGAGACGCCAAGTCCAGCCTGCTCTTTCCTTGCCAGAAGCTTAAGGATGCTGTATCAGGGACTGCACTCCAGACCTCATTTTCCCTTGGCAAGAGGACAGCCCCTCAACAGGCATCTGAGGCATGGAGTCATGGCACAGCTAGAACCAGATGGTAGGAGTTAAGAGACATTTATACCCGCTGAAGGGTGGGCACAGCTGGGGACCATGCCCAGCATCAGCTCCCATTCCTTTTCGCCCGGCAGTTGGCAAGCCGAGAGCCCAACGCTCCTGGAGAACCAGCTCCTGCGGGGTCAGAGGAAGAACAGAACAAAACCTTCTCCTCTCCAGACATCCCACTGCTGCCTGCAGATGTGGTTCTCCTGCCAGGCCTGGGCATGTTCGACCTGCCTATGAATAATCCCAGCAGGAGGGGTCCATACCTGCAGGACCATTCCAGTGCAAGGTTTGTCATGAAACGTGCGTTAACTGACAGCTGTAGGTTTGGTTTTGAGGTTATTTGCGCACATGGAGAAGCTGGCTGTGCCGTAGGTGGGACGGTTGAGGGGACTGAGCTGGGGCTGGTGTATTCAGCTACAGAAACTGAAACCCGTCTATACTTCCTCTGCTGCCTGATCACAGCAGGTTGGTGCTTTGGTGTCAGGGAGGACACCTCCGAGAAGTTCATCGGTTGGTACTGATCTACCAGAGAGAGTAAAAGAGTCAAAGCACAAAACTTCACGTGCAATGGATTTAGCCCGGAGCTGTGATGCTTTGCAGAGGCGGCAGTGCTGGAGCCACAGGCTGGTTTCACAGAGCAATTTAACGGCTTATTCCCCACCCCCTGCGCAGATCTAAAGCCATGCTGCCCGTGGACCAAGCTGGACAGGAACAGGAATTCCTGCGGCAAAAGAATAAGCACTTGGATGACAATTAAGGACGGAATGGGGGCGGTTTCACTGCAGCTGTGCCTCGAGCAGCCCAGCCAGCACCGAGCGCGGGAGGGAGGGACCGGGCTGGCCCCTGTGCCGCCGGGGAGCAGGGAGAAGGAGCGGCGGTGGCAGCGCTTAGCCCTCGGGGCCCTCGGTCTCTCCTCCGGTGCGTCCGAGTCCCGCGGTGATGCTCACAC